ACACCCAGAACAGTTAATACCTACAACTCTTTTGAACATTTAACCCTTAATTTCCCTGATCCAAATTGCAAAACAGGAAAACGTCTTCTTTTTGTAACTTTGTATCGTCCACCAGGTCCTTACTCTGAATTTTTAGATGAGTTTTCAGAGTTCCTTTCTGATTTGGTATTAAATACTGACAGGGTCATCATAGTGGGGGATTTCTTCTGCCTGGCTGTGTGTTTCCTGATATGCAGGATGTTCAATCAATACACTAGGTTTTTTTAGAAAGGTTAGAAGTGATGTATGTCAGCTGAATAAAAGTTTCGAAAGCACACCCTCCCCCGAAAAGAAGAACTAACAAATGGAATATCTGCCCCAGTTATGCAAATATTGTTTTTATTTATTGCAGCTCTAAGTACATTTTCAAATGGTGCTCCCCCTGCAGGAAATTTTAAAGATAGCACCATTGTAAACACTGAATGCCCTCCATGAGCCACTCACCCCACAGCTACATGTTGTCATGTTTGTCTCCCCACAGACTAAATTCTTTTTCCTAATCCAGATCTTTTCCTTTCCTCCTCAAACAAAGATTTCCTTTGCCTTTTCTATCTGGCTACTCCATGTCATAAACCCCCAGATTGCAAAGGTGATCTATAATCAGCTGTGGGGATAGCAGTGATGGCGTGTAGCTATTGATGCCACTGGCCTCACATTGGGCTGCTGTAAAACTGTTCTTCTAACTGCGAGAACAAAGCTGCCAGCGGGTTATTATTATTATCATAAGTGTGGTTTAACAGCCAAGGCCAACAGGAGGAGTTTGCAGACACCTGAGTCGTCTTATAAACACTGAGCTTACCATCACAGGGACAGAGGTTTAGTCTAAAAAAAATTTTTTTCTTAACAAATCCCTTGAGAATATGTGATTTATCTTCTAACAGTTTTCACACCTGGAGGGCTGCACAGTGTCTGGGTGAGAGGAGTTGTTTTCTTTTTATTAAGGATTGTTTGGAACAATCATTATTCTGCATCATCCTGGATCATTCTGGACTCTGTCCCAAGGTTTGTTCAACATTTTCCTCTTTTCACTGATGAACTCCTTGTCTAGATCAGAACATCAAGCTGTGTCGCATGATCCATCTGGTCATCCTCTTTGCAAAATTTAATAAAGTGTTGATTGAGTGAATTACCACTGATTTCCCTTATTTAACTGGATTGATTTGTTGAAGACTTTTTTATTATGACTGAGGATAAATTAAGGCATAAAAATGCTGCTTTACTGCTAAAAGTAGTTTATTGTTGGTGTTTCGACTGGGTTACCTGGTCAGCAAGTGTTTGAGGTGAGGAATAGCCGATCCGGCAGCCATGGGAAATGCAGACAAGCTCTGCACACAGCTCAAGCACATGAGCCAGAGGGAGGTACCCAATGTAGGTATCCTCTTCACTATAAGCACAAAGACACAGTTCTCATGAAATGAACTTCAATGGGATTTCAATGGACACCTACGTTAGATTCCACTCTGGAACAACCCTTTTTCCAGTGTCATGCAAAACAGTACAGACAACGGTCACATAATCCATCATTTAGAAAGTTACAAACAGAAAGTCAAAAAAAAAGTTCAAATCAATCCTCTGGACTTTGTTTCCTCGATTGAAGACGTTTCTCTTCCATCCAGGAAGATTTTTCAATTCAAAGTGTCAGAAATAACGTTTAGTTCCAGGTTTTATCCAGCAGCCCAAAAAAAGCCTGGTTTTAGTTTAGAAAACATGCAAATAGAAACGGATGAACGGGTCCCCCCCTTTGGAATGGGGGTCGTAAGGCTTCTTTGTTAGCCTGCAATGCCCCATACCTGTCTATGTCTCTGAAAGTGGGGCGTTAGAGGGAATAGTTGGCCTGGCTGAATAGGTGAGGTCTTCTGTTCTCCTGTAAAGGGGGTGGGGCTGCGATGATAGCGAGAACAGATTAACTGAATTGCTGTATTGTAGGTTTTTGAAAGCTAAAGTTTGAGTCCACCCCTATTCAGCAAGGCTAACAATCCCCTCTAATGTCCCCCCTTTCAGAGACATAGACAGGTATGAGGCATTGCAGGCTAACAAAGAAGCCAAACAACCCCCATTCCAAAGAGGGGGAGCAAGTTCATCCGTTTCTATTTGCATGTTTTCTAAACTAAAACCAGGCTTTGTTGGGCTGCTGGATAAAACCTGGAACTAAACGCTATTTCTGACATTTGGAATTGAAAAAGCTTCCTGGATGGAAGAGAAACGTCTTCGAACTTGGAAACAAAGTCCAGTGGATTGATTTTAACTTTTTTTTGGGATGGCTATGACCTAACCAACATTGTTGCAAAGACAAACTTTATTGTCATTTGTATGTATTTCATTTAATGAACAACATAAAGCATCACATAACTTTGAAGTAAAGGAAAAGATAAAGAGCATTTCTAGTATTTTAAGTGTGATGTGACACAGCGGAATAACAAAAATGTTCTTTAATCAGGTAATATTCAGACTTTCATACATTGCTGATGAAGACGCCCCCTACTGGCTGCATGTTAGAACAACAAATGAAAGTGTGAATGGCGCTCAAATCCTGTTCTGTCCCCATTCTGTACAGGTATAGAATAAATGCACTTCAAAATCCAAAATACAAGAGTTTATGAACAAAAATACACAAAGAATCAACTGATGAGGTGCATCGCTAAGAGTTCCCAGATATTTGTTCCGGTTCCATTTTTGCTTTTCCTTCGACTTTGTAAATTGGCACCACTTACTGTTTGCCAGTCACATCATTTAATAAGAAAATCATTGTAGTTTGGAGGCATGATGCGACAGTATGTAGAAAAGTACAAGAGAGACAAATACGTTGGTAAGACTGCGTGCACCGTTTGTGTTGGTGGGAATGACCTCTGCTAATGTAGTGCATTTTTAAACATGTTTATTTATGATGTCTGATAGAAGAGGCTGTTAACCCTCTAATCTCCACCTCCTTCAGTCGGACTCCCATCATCCCTGAATGGTGCTTGACTGCCTCCTGATCACATTTTCTCTACACTCCCATGGGAGCAAGCTTGGTCCAGTGTTTACTGGAAACAGTGGAGTTTGCATCATAGTTCTTACTTCATTTATTCAATTTCCCTAATAAATTTAATTGTAATTAGAAAAGACTTGCCAGTTTTTTTGGTTTATTTTGTTTTTAAATCAAGGTTTCTTCTTTACAGTTGTTTTCAGTATAAATCATATTGTAATTTAAATATTGCTTCCAATAATGACCAAAATGCCCATTGCAGGAAATGAAAGACAATCATGGATTATTAATAAATAAGCAGTCATTTAATTTGTCATTACCTCAGGTTGGGGATCCTCTCAGCCATGCCTGTAATGCTGGCAATGATGTTGCTATGGGAGATCATGACTCCCTTCGGAAGGCCGGTGGAACCACTGGTGTACATGATGACTGCGATGTCTGATGACAGAGGCGGCTTACGCTCAAACTTTGCTGAAGTGACATTGAAAACAAGCATTTGTTAAATGAATAATTTCTTTTGTGAAAAAGATCATATCTATGATTTTTGTTGTCATATTAAAACAGCAACTGAAACCTTATAAATAGCTAGAAAACTGCAATAAGTCCTCATCTGACTGTGGAATAAACAGGATTTGTATTTTGATCTTATTCATATGAGACCAAATCAGAGAGAACTTGGCAGTGATTCTGAGAAGTGTTGAGAAATGGACATTCCAAAAAGTTCAAAATCAATCCTCTGGACTTAGTTTCCTCGTTTGAAGACGTTTCTCTTCCATCCAAGAAACTTTTTCAGTTCCAAATGTCAGAAATAATGTTGAGTTCCAGGTTTTATCCAGGAGCCCAATAAAGCCTTGTTATTGTTTAAAAAACATGCAAATAGAAATGGATGAACGGGTCCACCCCTTTAAAATGGGGGTCGTTTGGCTTCTATGTTAGCCTGCAATGCCCCATACCTGTCTATGTCTCTGGGGGGGTCGGGTGGGGTGGGGAGTTGCACTTGCAAGTCAGCAAGTGCTGGACAAATAATGGTTCCATAAATACAGGACATGAGTTTCTACTGAATAAATATAGAGATGAATGACATTATAAACAGGATTTTAATAATAATTTGTCCTATGAATATAATATATAGATAACTAGTGTTGTGAACAAAATTTACAGCTGGATATGTACCGAATATAATATGCAGGTGGATATTACTATAAATAGGGTTTTTACAGTTATGTACAATAGCATAATATACAGATGGCTTTTACTATAAAATGAATAAATGAAGTGTGGACAGAAAGTATCTAAATTAAAGAGCAGTGGAAGGTAATTGCATATTACAGTTAAAGTACAGTATTGCAAATGTATATGTAAACAATTGGTGCTGTGAATAAACAGTCGGCAGAGCAAATATAAGCAGTCGGCAGTGGAAATCAATATTCCGTCAAGGTGAGTACACGATGTGCACGATGCATGTAAACAGTTGTTACAATAGTAACAGTCAGGAGTGCAGATGAACATTACAGTCTTGTAAATAACAGAATAACAAAATGGAGGTAGGTGTGAGGAGGGAGAGGAGAGTCTATCAGTGAGGGTTTGAGTTCAGTAAAGAGACAGCTCTGGTGAAAAAGCTATTCTTTAGTCTTCTGGTTCTGGTCCAGAGGCACTTTAACCGCCTGCTGGAGGGCAGGAGAGAAACCAGTCTGTGGGCTGGGTGGGATGAGTCCTTAAGAATGCTGCGGACTCCATGTAGGCAGCGTTTCTTCTGGATGTGCTCAATGGTGGGTAGTGAAGTTCCAGTGATATGCTGGGCGGCTTTCACCGCCCTCTGCAGTGCCTTGCACTCTGCAACAGAACAGCTTCCGTACCGCACTGTTACACAGTTGGTCAGGATGCTTTCTATTGCACAGCGATAGAAGTTCACCAGGATAGTGGAGGGAGCTGATTCTTCCTCAGTGTCCTCAGGAAGAAGAGACGCCGGTGAGCCTTCTGGACCAGGCAGGAGGTGTTGGTTGACCAGGAAATGTCCGCTGAGATGTGGGTCCCCAGAAACTTGAAACTGGAGACACGTTCAACAGCTATTCCATTGATGTGGATGGTGTCGTGGGTCCATGATGAGCTCCTTCGTTTTGGTGGTGTTGAGGAGCTGGTTATTTTCAGTGGACCATGTGGCCAAGTGCTTGATCTCCTTCCTATAGGCAGTCTCATCATTGTTGCTGATGAGACCGATCATCATGGTGTCGTCCTCAAACTTGATGATGGAATTAGACGCGTACACCGTCTTGCAGTTGTGGGTGAAGAGGGAGTAGAGAAATGGGCTTAGCACACAGCCCTGTGGTACACCGGTGTTGAGTGTGATGGACGTGAAGCAGTTGGAGCCTGATTGGACATTTTGGGGTCTGTTGGTCGGAAAGTCCAGAATCCAGTTGCACATGGAGGTGTTGATGGCCAGGTCTTAAAGTTTGGCTAATAACTTCGCCGGAATGACAATGTTGAATGCTGAGCTAAAGTCAACAAACAGCATGCGTGCATAAGTGTTCTTATTGCCCAGATGTGTGAGTGCAGTGCCATGGATACTGTGTTCTCTGTGCTCCTATTGCTGCGGTATGCAAACTGGTGTGAGTCAAATGTGGATGATACTAAGTCTTTCAGGTGTACCAGGACCAGCCGCTCAAAGCACTTCATTATGATTGGTGTGAGCGCTACAGGGCGGTAGTCTTTAAGGCACTTTGGGCTGGAGTGTTTAGGCACTGGCACAATGGAAGCGCATTGGAAGCATGTTGGTACAGCTGCTTGGGCAAGAGACAGGTTGAAAATGACTGTAAAAACCCCAGTGAGCTGCTCCGCACATGCCCTGAGTACACGTCCAGGGATGTTATCTGGTCCAGCTGCCTTGTGCATGCAGATCCTGCTCGGTGCATTGCAGACATCTGTGGAGGAGAGTGTGACACCCCTACGTTGCGACACCCCTCCCCAACTGTCCCAGTTGGGGAGGGGTGTCGCAACGTAGGCTCCAGCCACGTTTGTGTAAACATGGTCTAAAGTTTTGATTCCCCTGGTTTGGCAGAGAACATGCTGGTGAAATTTTAGAAGCACTGACTTTATGATCTCGGTGCTGCCTGGGAGCACTTCTGCCCGGCCGAGCAGAGTGCAAAGCCTCAGGTGTTCTGGCTATCTCAGGAATGAGTCCAAGGTTGTCCACAAGACTGTCAGAAATTCGTAAACCAATATCCAAAAGTTCATAACGGGTGTACGATGTAAGGGCACGACTGTTCTGAACGCACACACCCGAAATGAGCAAGAATGTCCCCGCAAAACTGCAGAATCTGGAGAGCCACTGTTTAACCTAATTGTGTGAAATCACATCTTTTTGTTGATATAAATTAGAGCAGCAAAATTACATTTTCAATTTAATTAAAGGCCACAAAAGCCATTTCTAGATCGCAATGAGACTGGATTTCTGGTCACATTACATTCAACGTCAGTAAGAATTTTTCTTACTTCCTAAACAATAAACTCTTGACAAGAGATTTTTCAAGGCCATGAAAATCATAACGCTATGAGAATATACCCTACGATTGGTGCAGAGAATCATTAAATTAAAAGCTTTTGAGAAATTCTTTCTTTTCAGCTTCATATGAGGAAACATATTTTATAGCTAAATTATTTTGAACTTCATAAACAAGAAATTCAAGTTACTTTCTTAGAAACAAATTAAGGAAAGTGGTATTCTTCATCAATGTTTTGATTGAAAAATTAGCCATTTTTACTTAGAATTGGAGAAAACATAAAGTAAGACGGTAAATAGACATTTAAAGCCTCTTCTGTTTAGGCAGCTCAGATCAATCAAAGGTTTCAAATACATTCCTGAAAAATGGTCATCGTACAGCAGTGAGTGGTTCTGATGAGATGCCAGGTCATGTTCCTGGAATGTTCTGCGCCTGAATGCCTCTGCAGATAGCTGCACTGATTTATCAGCTAAAACACTTTTCTGTTAGTCTATAAACAACATAATGTGACAAAAATGTGTTTTTATTTGGCAAATATTTATTCTTTCTTTTTAATGTCTAAAAATCCGAAGTTAGGAATCTCAGAAAGCAAATAGGTGATAAAGAGAAAATAAAGTGTCTTGTCGCCGTGCTTACCCCCATTTATCAACATCCAGAGAGCTGATGTCATGTGAAATTAACAGCGCTGTGTGTAAACATTACCCTCCCCCAGATCCCAGCGCTCAAAACTCCCTTCCTAATCCTACCTCTTTCTCTCTTTATCCGTGCATGACATTAGCAGCTGGTCATGCTGTGGGTCAGCTGGCTCAAAGGGCTTCAATAAAAGGCGAGCAGAGTGAGGGGAAGGATGGGGAAGCAATGGCTCTTTCACATCCGTCCACTAGAACAGAATGTTTGCTATCGAACCTAATCTGACACAGATGTCAGAACTTCCTCATTCACATGACCTTTCATAGCAATTCATCTGCACCCTGATACCCATCAGAAACCCCATGACGTTTACTTTTTTAATTAGCGGCAGATTCAGTAAATCATCAGAAAATGTAACCCAAACAAAATGGATCAGAGGGATTATGTTTGATAAAAGTTTTAGATTGGAGAGGAAACGGCAATGAAACTGCCACCTATTGTTTAGGACTTTATTTAGGTAAAAAGCCTCCAGCTGATCAAAAATACTCATCAAGAGTTATGATGAAAATGAAAAACAATTCAATTATTTATTGCTGTAGTGTCAGCTGACAACAAGTAATCTCAATGTATAACCCTGACCAGGCCATTCTACTTTTAGAAATTCTAGGAACCACTCGTAAAGCTGCAGACTGAGAGCGAAGTGCTCTGTTAGGAACATAAGGAACAATCAGATCTCTGATATCAGATGGAGCTTGGCCATTTAAGGCTTTATATGTGAG